TACCACTCTCTAGAACTGTACAGGACTCATCACCTCTAAGACTTACTCTTGTCAGGCACTTCCCAACATTTGTTGATAGAAGTCACAGGAAGAGATGCAGACTGTGCCTCCCAGAAATTAAAAGTAACAACAAAATGTAAACTGTGTGATGAATTTATCTGTATTAAACATTTTGAAGAGTATCACTAGTGTTACTCTTCAAAGAAGTTATTCTTTATTTATGTCTACTCTCTTCCTTTGTTCACATTTTTTTCTCTAAATATTTTAATGTTCATATTTCAAAGTACAACAATGGTTACTTTTTACATTAAATTTTGACTGAAATATTTTGTAGTTTTCTTTTGTTATTCATACAGTAGTGATGCTACCTTTCATGTATCAAAATCAGTCTACAATGTCTAAAACGTTTGTTGTAAAATACCTATATAAACTTGCATTCATTGATACAGTTTTTCCTATGCACAACATTAGATATGTGTGTTTGTTTTTTACACTGTTGATCTTTTCATTGTGGTTGTTCCTTTTATCATGTATCAACATTTGTATATTGTTATGTTAAAATGTGTATAACTTGATACTGTTTCATGTAATTTGTATGTGCATTATTCATTTTAGATATGTACATCATTTGTGCATACCTTTATTCTGCAGGCATTTGTCGAGTATTGTATCTTTCTAAAATGTTACAAATCTTTCAAAACCTCTTGTCTAGTCCCACATACTTTTATTTTTCTAAGAGTTTATAACCAATAGAAAGAGCAGTTACTTTTGTACGTAAGTTTTATAGCTGTATGTAAATAGCTTGAATGAGAAAAATTGTAATTTCACTTAAACTGTTAAAGTGTGATGACTAAGTTGTTGCTCTGAAGAGAAACCTGATTTTTTTAAAACTCGCATAATTACAGGTGTTTCAACTTACTAACATAGTAAGTTGATATTTTTTTATTAGTTTATATGTAATTTTGAAGCATTAAAAATTCATAACTCTTACACCCTCCATTCGAAAGAATAAACGAGGCTTACGGTGAGGCTTAGCACATGCGACACTCGAGCACAAATTCTCTTAACCACCGTAAGTACTCAAAATCTTAGTTTTTTGAAGTATATTTTTTATTCTCGTAGGTTTTAAGAAAAATAACTAAAATTTGAGCATTTGTGGATAAATAATAACTATATATATATATAAATACATATTCTATGTATGGTAGCCAAAATTTCCCTATATTTAACAAAATACTGGTATAAAAGACAGAGATTTGTACTTTGACTTTGTAGGTCCATATAGTTATGCCTGCTGAATTTGTATTTTTCTTCTAATTGTCTAAATTGAGGTAAAATAAAAGCAAATTATGCAACACTAGCAGCTAGAAAACCTAAAAAAAAGGTTTAAATGTCCTGACGTTTTAGAGAGCTATTTTCAAAATTTTATTAAATAGATTTGCTATAACTTATGTCAAAGGGATTCACATAAAATGAAGGTCATATTTCAAATTTTAATATTATATATGTTTTAATTTCTTAATTTAAAAGGAAATATAAAGAAAAAAATTATAAATATTTTTTTTGTGTCACATAACACTTCCTGTTGCATTATTGTTCAGTTTATAATTAATTACGCCTACTATACAAAGTGTGAAGTAGTTAACAAATTGGAATTATTGACAAGTTATAATTAAAACTAAGAACCTCCTACCTCTTTGATTTGCTGAGATATAAGTATATTTAGCCAATCTAGTAGTTTGGCTCCTCCTACTACTCCAACACCCTTTGACCTGCCTGTGGTGAAAGGGTTAATGACCATCCAAAAATTAGCAGGTTATGTAAAATGGACCAATAAAAATTGTCAAGGAGTTTACCTACAGCTAACCAAACAAGGTAAGATATTCAGTATTCCTTGTTTATAGTGTAGACCCTCAAAGTTTTATCTATAGGTAATTAACTCTCAGAAATTGACTTGCATAAACAAGTTTTATCATATACATTAATGTATATTACTCTTGAAGGTTTTCATGTAAATTCTTTTTGTATATTGAAGCTGCTAATTGTAAGTATAAAAAAATTTAAATGTTGAATACTGCCAATGACCATTGTCAAATCAGAAACCTTACCAAATAAATGTGCACTAATTTATGCGTAAACTTCCATTTTTTTCTTATTTTGAATTAAACACAAATGCCACAAAGTGATAAAAAGTGCTGACCCACAAAACATATATGAACCATTAAGTTTTGCAATTTAAATCTATATTTAACTGTAACCACTTATAGGCTGCAACAAGATTCCACAAGGAAAGCTCACACAGCTCCACCAGAGCCCTCAATTGTTTACTGCAAATATCAATTTCATGAATGCCCTCACTGAACAGTAGCATAGTGTTAAATGACTCCTAGTCCCTGTCAGAAGATGTACTGTGTAAGTGCTACATAAAACCTTCACTGTCATGTTTATAGCCTCGTAACAACCAAAATAATAATTCACATAGAAATAGATACTCAAACAGTACAAGTTTTTGCTTTCTTGTATGGAGAGAGTTTTAAAAACTTAATATATTAAGCAGAAAGTATCCTCATTAGTAAATATAACCTGCCCCTTAACAAACACCACAAATTAGCAGTATTTGAAAATAAGTAGTTTACAAGATTATTGGTTTAAACTTTTGCTTATGTGTATTTTATAAAAGCCATTCTTTTTCACTCCAGTACTTCCATTCTGTAATTTACTTGGATACATGCATTTCAAGTTACTAAACAACACAAGTTTAATAAGTTCCCTAATATTTTACATTTTAATTCTTAGTTTTGTAATATGAAAAGTGCACTAGATGTTTATTTTCCTTTTATTTTGGAGATTTGATCTTTATTCTGCACTTAAAAATTTCATTTTCATTGTTTTAGTTTTTTTTTCTTCAATGAGAGGCTGTAACACCTTATCATTATTTTGCAACAATATTGTACTGATGTTTTCTGTTCATTGTGCTCTACTTTCAACATGACAATATGGCACAAACTTACAGACTGGTCTCTGTATTTAATTATTGCATCAGCCTAAGGCCATAATTTCACAAAACACAACCCATTTTTTAGAGTAGCTGACAGCATTGCAGTGTGTGTATTTTTAAATTTTTTTTTTACTTCAAACGGTGTTAATATTGCAAGTACATAGAATATAGTACATTTTGGTTTCCACATTTCTGCATGCTTATTTGAATATCTATAAAATATTTTTAGAGATTCGAAATATAATGCAAGTACATAACATACTTGCTATTAGATCATAAGTATACAAAATAAAGTTATAATTACAATTCACACAAACATTTCAATAAGGAAGTGTAAGTAATTTATTTGAATATATATATATATATATATATATATATATATATATATGCATGCAGTGTTAATGGTATATTTTGAAATCTTGTTGAAGCTGAAATCATAGTAGTTAAATTTGATGACGAGGAACCCACTTTGAGACTAATATGCTTGGAGATGGCTTGAATGGGTAATGAAGAAAAACTTTAACACAAGTTTAACATAACAGCAAATCTACGATGTTTCGACAAGGTTTTGTCATCATTAGGTACCGACAAATCCTTGTCGAAACATTGCAGATTTGCTATTATGTTAAACTTATGATAAAGTTAGCCATTCAAGCCATTTCCAAGCATTATTAACAGTAGTTAAATGCTTAAATTCAAAATAATTAATTTTCACCAAAGCTTTTATAACAAATACTTTCAAATACAATTTCCATTAATTGTACTCCAACTTAAAAAATGTTCAATCTGAAGATCTTCAAACTTAACTTAAAATACCAGTTCTTAACACTAATATTACACAGGTACATACTATATACACAATTCTGTCATAAGACAGTCATGCAGGATGTGTGTTCATAAACATAAATTGTTTCCATGAAAACAACTCAATATTATTCTCAGCATAAATAATCTACTAGATATGAAACAAAGCAAAACAAAATATGTCAGCCATATAGGAAAATTTACTTTACAACATCCTTCACATATCTATATTTTGTTTTGATTACAAAATTTTCACTTGAAAAATCAGATAACATATACATACATAAAGAAGTTTTAATCTTGCTTGCTATGCCTACCAATATCAATCTTTGCTATCATGCAAATAGCAATAAAACATCAACAACTGAGGCATGCATCATAAATAAATCAATTGAATACCTACCTGAGAAGATCAGCTACATCAAGATACTGGAATATGAGATTCACACATTCAAAGCCTCCAATCAATCGGCTGACGTAACAAGAAAATGGGTTCAGTTTTTGGTCCTCGGGCACAGTTTTCAGTAATCGACTTTTAAAACCACAGCTGTAAGCATGTTCTCGAAGTTTAACCAACACTTTCTTATTACATGAGTTTTTCTCACTAACATTACCTTCATCAGAACTGTCTTTTAGTTGACAATCAGAGCCTTTGGAGAAATTGATATCTTTTAATTTAATTTCAGTTTGCACACCACAAGTTTCAGTTTCAGGCACCACTGGCTCTTCTTTAGGTGATGGTGGAGGAGGCTCTGATTGGGTACCCACAGAATGAGTAGTAACTAGTGGAATTTTTTCTACAGATGGAGACTTACCTTCCACATCATTTTGTGTTTCAGATAATGGGGAACCAGTTTTGTCTGATGCTATTTTTGAAGAGCTATTTTCTGTATAACCACTGGCAGGGAGAGTAACTCTACGTACTCGAATGCGTTTTGAATTTTGTGACGTTCCTTCTGTCACAGAAACATATGAACTAGGAGGAATAATGGAACTTGAAGCAGACTTCAAGGTAGGCATTTGAGGTAGCAAAGTGGTGCTGGCTGGTGTTACGAGAACTGAAGATGATGCCGTGACTCCTGTAGAGCATATGGCTAAGGTTGATGCTGTCTGAAAAGAAGAGGAGGAATCAGACATAGGTAACGTTTCAGATGACATTAACTGAGTCATCTCATTCACAGAGCCACTTAAAGGACTTCTCAAAAGTGCCCCATTCTGAGACAAAGGAACAGTTGCACTACTCTCAGGAATTGGAATCAATACTCTTGAGTGATTTCCTGTAGCAAGTGGTGAACTCACAACTGAAGTGTCAGGTTCAGTTCCTACTCCAAGGAAGGGCTGTGGTGCAACTGAGTGCAAAATCTGGGAAGCAGAAGATGAAACAGATGCAGAACATGTAATTAATGAGCAAGTGACAGCACTGCTGCTGCTGGAAGGGGAAAGAAGCATTGGAGCCTGTAGAGATGATACTGATGCCGTCCCAGTATGTGAAGTTTTAGAAACTGCCGGTATAAAAAGTGTATTTTGGACAACAGGGACACCAGCTCCTAAAACAGCAGACACAGAAAAATTTTCAGGCATCGTCCCTGCTTGATATCCTCCGTAAGGATTACTTCGTAAAGAATCTTGTGATTGTGGAGAGAAATTTCTCAGAGAAAACTCCTGAAATGAGCGATTAGCTCGCAGTCCTAAACTATATGAAGGAGCTGGCGTTAAGGGGGGAGGTGGTGGCAGATTTTTCCGAAGAGGCACAGTTGTTACTGAAGATTTTATATCCACTTTGGAATCCTCATTACATGGTTCTTGCATAGTTTTTATATTTGTCTGTAAACTACTTTCTGTGGAAGATTGTGTTTCTTCCTCAGCCTTCTCTTTTAGTAATGATATAGATTCAAGTTTTTTTTGTTCCAACTGGTCTAATGGCAAAATAGATGATTCTTGAGGTACTACAGGACGAGCACCAGGTGGAGGAAGGCGTGCTTTCCCTTCCTTAATATTTTCTCTGCATCGCTGTCAGAAGAAAAGTTTTTCTTTTTAAGAGGTGACTTTTTATGATAAGATAAAAAATGTAAAGAATGAATTATAATAAAGGAGTAAGTAACAAATAGTAAAAAAGCATCTGAAGGCACTTTAAAAACATGTTGTACACATAATTATGATAAGTTCATTCTCAAATTTCATTTGGATAGTATTCTGAACTATTACAAATCCTATGTCATGCATTAAATGATTTCATTGTTATGTACATGCTATCAGCAGTATTATATTTTACATTTGCATTTCAAAGGAAGCCAAATATGTTAATAGTAAATTTATCTAAAGGAAATCAAAACATTTTTATACTCCAAGCAGAAATATACTTGAGATATAAAGACTGACATACTACTATAAACAATAAATTGGGTTATTTTTAATAATTAACGTATGATATTCTGAAATAAATAAAAATAATTTTACTGAGAAAACTACTCACCTGACAAATAAAGATGGATGGCAGTGAAGTGGCAACAAGACCAACACATTCTGGATGAAAGAGGCACAGGCATACTCCACAGTGGAGGGAGGGTAGTTGACCATTCCGTCCCACACAATGGAGAGAACACAGGATGGGCTCAGTCAAATCCGTCTTGATCTTGCTTAGCCTGCAGCACAGAAAACATTACTGTCGTCACTTGGCCAGCACTTGTTTCCAGGCACAGGTTACGTCACTTGAGTCCTTTTGCACTGCATCATGTGTATGTGTATTTAGATTGTCACTAGAGTTCAAAATCTTCAACCAACTACAAGGAATGAGGGCATATATATTCACTCCGAAAATATTTCAATTTATAAAAAAAGCAGTGTATAAAATCTTCAGAACGTGGGGTTTTTTTTATATACAAGATGATAATAAAATGCTTAAAGAGGTAGGTGATCACAATAAAATAAACTACTGTTCAGTCACAGATGAGATCATTAAAACTACACTCACAGTGGGAAGGTTTTCTGACTGCCTGTCTTCTTGGCTTCTGCTTGTTTACTTTTTTTTGAATCTGAAGTTTTAGTAGTGACTGCCTGGTTCTTTAATGTACGTTGTGCTGGCTGCTGTGACTGTGGTGAAGATATATCTTGTTTAAATCGTTTGGCTGTATACTTAATTCCTGGACCTTGCCTTTTCTTGCCTTTAGGTGTTGATGTATCATCTGATGATTCTTTTTCAGTTTCGTTTTCTGTTGAAACTGTTGTTACTTTTGGATTTTTAGGGGGACGCCCTCTTTTCCTTTTTGGTACAGGGGGAGACTCAACAGGGGGACGGACAGGAGATTGAACTTCTGGTGTTCTTGATTTTGGTAGGGCTTGTCGTTGAACCTCATAAGGTTCTTGATAAACTGAGTATTTACCAAATGTGAAATATTCTACAGGGAGACAATGGTTTGGATTTTTTTCCACTAAGAAGGAAAATAAAACATATTATTACTCTTATGTTTATAAGGTGCCGAGATAAAAAAAAAAGAAGATGCACAAATAATAAATATACTAGTGCTTTTTTGGTAACTGGACAGTGGGATTACAAAACAAAATTTTGTGCATTTTTTTTATTCAAAACAAACTCTTTGAGAAGATATTAGTAATTGAGTGAATTCTTTGGCATAGAAAAGGACAGTGAGTTGCAGCTGCAGTTCTGTATTACAGACTAATTCTGATCAGTGTTAACAAGGAAGGAGTAACTATAATCAAGTTACAATGGAGAAGAGGATGAAAAGCAAGAAAGATAGGCTATCTCACATACAGATAGCAGGTTAGCTATTTAGTCTAAATTATGCATACGCATATGTTTGTGTGTATTTTGTGATTCACGTATGATAACATCAATTTTTCAAGTCGAACTTTATATCTGTATGTCAAGGAATGTGACATTACTTATTATTGTAAAGTAACACAATTATTACTTCATGTTTTGTGAAATCTTCAAAAGATATTCTATACTGTAATATGAGCACCAACTGATTATTCTTTGAAACTGTGTGTTACAAGTTGACTACAATGTGTTAATGTTTAGGTGTTCTGACTTATTTAAACAATAATTTGTTTTTCAGAAGTCAAATTAAGGAAGCAACTGATGTTATTTTTGACAACCTATTGGAAAGAGAGCTCTTGTATGATTTAGGAAATGAACTAGTTCGCATATTGTCAACTTTCAGAAAGTGGGTTAACACAGAATGATATTAGAGTCAGAATGAATGTAAGGCATGGATGGAATTTCTCTTTGGATTTTAAAAACCTTTAAAAAAAAAAGTCTGTAACAAACTATATATGTTTTTCCAACAAACAGTCAAGGTTTGGGTGGAAGGGGTCAGATTTATGAAATCAAATATATTTTTCAAAGGACAAGAATATAGGTTTAGAAATGCTGTGAAACTCAACCAGAAGTGTAATCATCATATATCATCAGTGACAAGGAACACAGTGTATTTCTCAGAAGGGGTCAGATTTATGAAATCAAATATATTTTTCAAAGGACAAGAATATAGGTTTAGAAATGCTGTGAAACTCAACCAGAAGTGTAATCATCATATATCATCAGTGACAAGGAACACAGTGTATTTCTCAGAGCAGCTAGTCCATAAGAACTTGAGACTTGAAAAAAAAAGTTCAGTAAAACATTGCTTGTCATGTAAACTGTATGTCACGACATAAATTATACACACCTTATAACTTGTTCATATAACACTCTTTGTTGGATCAGTAAAGAATGTATAAAGTAGTAGGTGCACATATACTTAAAGGCAGCAGTAACAAACAATTTACTTGAATCAATATTAAACTTTTAACTCTAATAATCAAGTTTGAAGGACGCAATACAAAGATGCCTGGTAATCTGGAGCATGAAAACACTGGATTTTAAAAGACAAAGATTAGTTTTTTAATTAGAAGCTAGAGATAAATGAAAAGCAAGGTGTTAGTATACAGGTTCATTCACTAAATCCAATGCTGATTTCACACAGAAAAGTTGATTATACACACACACACCTCTTATATTGTATAATGAGTAATTATATAATAATTAGGATTACAACCTATGTACTTTATCTCTGCACCAAAAATAGATCAATGCCATTGAATATTTATCTTACTAGAATTTCAAATAATATTTATAATAAGCATTTTCACTCTTCCTAACAGCTAACAAGCACTCTATAGGCTAGGCACGAAATATGTTCAAAATATCTGTGAAGAAGAAAAAATATAGTGAAAAGAAACATTTCTTTAAGGATATTATGAATCTTGATAAAAGTCAATTATTTTAAAAACTTGACAGTTTCAAGATGATAGACAGTGATTTACTACTATACATAATTACTAGTTTTAATGTAATTCTTCTGATTAGAAAATTAAGGGTTACTATGAGTTATTTATATATGTTAAACTAAAATAATTTCTAATAATTACCATGTGCTAAAGAAGAACAATAACATTGTTGAAAAGTAGAATACAGCATGTATCAAATCAGTAGAAGCAAATTTAAAAATCTGATTATCCAACAGTTTTGTAAAACTCAAATAAAATATTGCTAAACAATGCACCAAGCCAAAGCCAAGTCAAAATTCATTCACTTTAATATAATGCTCAAACTGCATAACAAGTATCAGTAAGAACTACAACATTGTTATCACTTAGATAAGACATGGAAATATAAAAATTAGCAAATGTTGCTTGCAAAAGAAAATTTTTCTCATTCATTAATCTATACACTAAACTGTGCGAGTACATTTATTGTAAAATATTTCAAATTAGGCTAATAATATATAACTACCTAAAACAAACTATACAAAAAAACCATCAACTCACTCATAGCATACTAACTTAAAAGACCCCCTTTATGATACTAAACAAGCACGTTAATTATTTGTATTTCATGGCCTATCCCTATCAGCATAACGATAATGTAACTTTACAACTTAAAACGCTACCCACATATTATGAATACAATAGTTTAGAAGACCCCTTTTATAATTATTAGTATTAATAACTAGGACAGTTCTTTGTAGTTTTTGACCCTACAAATAATAAAACCTTAAGGTTTTTAATGGTTTTTGATCTAAAATTTATATTTTATCTTAGCTTGAAAACAACTTCAATTTCATTAATTCTTTTAATTTTCTGATTGATCAAGAAAAGAAAATAATACAATAAGAAAAAAACTATATATTAAGAACTGTGTATGAAAATTATTCTTTAACCCCAATGGAATATTTTTTTAACAAGCTCCTTCAAATTACTTTCTCAAAAACCAAAAGTTTTAATAATCTGATTTACAAGACTATACTATCAATAAAGATAACTGAATACAAAATATAGTAAATTGTGAAAATCAACTTTACTCATAAATAATCAAACAGCATCAGCTAAAGAAAAGCTAAATGATAAATATTACAATAGAAAACCTATCAAAACTATACACATATATTACACAGGTTTTATACTTACTGAAAGATTCTAGTTCTTTCATGGATCTCTGTAAACATAAAAACAAAGCATATTATGTCATGTGCATCTGTGTGTTAGCACATGCCACTGTTACTTTATTAATGTTTTAAATAAAGTGTAATAAAAACAAAATATATCTTAATCAAACATTTTATTATTTGAAAATAGCTGTATGTCTATAAAATGTCATTATTAAATACGACATTATAAAGTAATATAAGAAAATCAAAATTACATTGACTTTTTTGTCTTACAATGAGATTCATTATATGCCCTATACACATATCAAACTACCAACTTATCCCTATCGGGTCACTTGTCAAAGGCCATGTCATTACGTTTGTTGAGTCACATTCAAAATTTTACTGAACTACTATTTTATGAATTGATGTCAATAAGTTTGGTATCAAATTGTAGATTATAATTCAAATTCTAGTATTATACATCAGTTAATTTAAAAGTAAATATTGATTTTTGTGTGTCACGTGGTATGTTGAATGCAGCACTAGTTCAAATTAGATGTTTGTGATGTCAAAATGCAAAATCTACAGTTTCGTACAAATTAGGAGCTCAAACTACCAATATTAAAAAGCTAGAATATAAAATAAGAACCTCTTTATCTTTTCTATTTGCTAAGATATCACTCATGTACTGAATCAAACAGAGTAGCCCCCACCTCCTCTTTCCATTTTGGGAAATGCTTCCTTATATACACTTACTTCTATATATGACATGTGAATAACCAATGGAAAGCTCAAAATGTCCCCG